ATATTCATTACCTTTTGGCAGTGGTCTTGGTTGAGAAGAGTGTAGGCCACAAGTGAACAGGGCTTCCCAAGAGCAGGAAGTGAACCTGATGCCTTGGGCTTACAAAAAACTGAGGAGAAAATCCACGAGTGCTAAAACCACCATCAAACTCAGCAACAACAGATCTTGCAGTTGGCACTGGTGACGGGTGGTTGGTGGTTAACAGTTAGGCGGCGGAATTAAGGATTTTTTTTTTTTAAGTTTTAAGACTGAGGGGCCAATGGAATGAATCATATCAAGAGTGACAAGACAGTTAAGCCAATCATTAGAGCATTCTGTTTATGCTAGCTCTTAACGATGTGGGCAGTCCAGAATCTTCCATCACTGCAAAATGAGCCTGACTTTGCAAGGAGCTCCCGTGCACTGCTGTCCATGACAAACAGATGCAACTATGATAGTGAAACCAAGTAGGGCCCTTCAGGGCCTTACCAGGGGAGAGATCTCCATCCTACCCCCGTCCCTGCTGCAACCCCTGCCTCTTGGTCTGTAGCAAAGCTTTAGCCTCCTTGGCCTTCTCTGAGTTCCAAAGAGCAAATTTAACCAGAGAAGTGAGAAAACAGTCAAGCAAGACAGAATAATAATAGTTTAGCCATAAAACAAAGTCAAGGACCTTTAGTTCCTCTTCAAGGGCTATAAATAATATCCTAAGCCATATCCTTGAGTTGTTTTGCAGATACTAAAACCCCCACCAGGTAGAAGTTAGCTGCATGCTGACCACCAGCACACATAGACCCCAGACCGACTGGAACCAGAAAGTTAATGACTGAGATTCCTGAAATATCACCATTACCGCGCCATCAACCAATGAGGGAATCGTGCACGAGCTGATCATGCACCTTGTAACCCTCTCCCCTCACATTGTCTTTAAAAACTCTTCCCTAAAAGCCATTGGGGAGTTCAGGTCTTTTGAGCACAAGCTGCCTGTTCTCCTTGCTTGGTGCCCTGCAATAAACACTGTACTTTCCTTCACCACAACCCGGTATCAGTGGACTAGCTTTTCTGCGCATCAGGTAAGCAGACTAAAGTTTGCTTCAGTAGCAACTGCAGGACTGTGAGCTGTAAAAGTCAGTGACACAGAAGGAGGTTTCAAAAGGTAAGGACAAAACAGGCATCAGAATTTTTAAATTTCCTTTTTAGGAAGTAAGATATTTTCCGATTACAAAAGTAACGCACATTGCTTTCTACAAAATGAGACGGAGCATAAGAAAATTAACATGGTGGGGTGGTGATGGTGGGATGAACTGGGAGACTGGGCTTGACACCTATACACTAATATGTATAAAATAGATAACTAATAAAAACCTGCTGTATAAAAAAAGTTTTATAGATCAAAAAGAAAATTAACATAACCTATAAGCTCAGCACCCAAGTATAATTACAGCTAACGTTTCAGAGAAGAGTCTTTTAGACTTTTTTTCTAACATAAATATTATATATCAAATTCTTCTGAAGAGTTTGCTCATAAAACATTTCTTATAAATTTTAATTACAAATTATGATTAAACTAAAACCTCTCTTCAAGGCATTCCAGGGCTGAATTTAGTTCTAATGTAGGCTTGGCATTAGACTAGAAGGCTCTTTTTCAGACCATTTTCACCAATCAGGTCAATCAATCCCATGGTCTGGGCTCAGAAGGATGCGGATCTTTCAGACGACAGTGTTCACAAAATCAAGGTAACTATCTTGCAGATATATACAAAAACAAGGGAGGAAAGCTGCATGCTTCTCTCTGTGTGTGTGTTTTTGTTTGTTTCAGATGGGCTTAACATATTTGGAGACATTGAACCTATCTTCCAAACTTGACCTTCTAAAAGGGCAAAGGGATTTCCACTCATCTACACTTAAATAAACTTGATTCAGTTTTTAAAGGTATTAGATACCACCTCTATCATAGCAGATGGGAAGGGAGGTATCTCCTCTATAGTAATAATCTCGTTTTGTTCTCAGGACCAAAGAATTCCTTTGAAATGCACATAAAAGCACTGCTCAATCACTGTCGGAGACAATAGCCATAGAACAAATGACAAAACCAAAATTGTTTCATAAATAGCCTCTAAGCAGCCTTTGGGTGAAAAATGCTAGACACTTCCCTGGTGAACAGGTCAATTTACTTCTTTGTCCATCAGTGTCACCTGCAACACAGGTTCTCTTAGTAGGCTATCATAACAAGGTCTTATCCAGAAGCAACCGTCCTAGAGAGTCTTAATGAAGTAATTACACAGTTGGAAAAGCCTACTGATACCAATTACTCTAAAAATCTTCCAGATGGAGATTAGTTCTACAATACTGGGTGGCAGAAGATGTGAGCCTCAACAAAGGACTGGCTGAAATCCTTCAGGAAAGCCTGGGGGATGCGTACAGTAGGCCTACAGCTCTTCTTCCCTGCATCTATACAAGATCCTTCCAACTGGCCAACGGTAAGAGGGATTCTCAGGTATTTACCACAAAATGGCATGCTGTGATATCTGGTGTCTAAAGTGAGAGATCACCTACCATGCCACAGCACAGACATAGCTCCAGAACTTGCCAGAGACCTCAACCTCAAACTACCTGCCAACTGTGTCCTTTCAAAACGAAGAACCAGGGGTGGGGAATGAGGAGTTATTTTTTAATGGGTTCAGAGCTTCAGTTCGAAAACGTTCTGGGGATGGATGGTGGTGATCGTTGCACAACAATGTGAATGTACAATCCTTAATGCCACTGAATTATACACTCAAAAATGGCTGAGAAGGCAAATTTTGTTTTGTTTATGTTATTTATATTTTACTACAAAAACAAAAAATATATATGGCGTAAGAACCAAGCTGAGATTCATGAGAGATCGTCTCAGAGACATGCTGACCATCCATTTGTCCAGATTCGACAGGTGAGACCACTGACGGGCTACAGACCCACCTAGAGCTCCCGAAACAATAGACTCACACCCTCGCACCGGACGCTTTGTTTTGACTGAGGGCAAACATAAGACCCGGCCATGTGAAGACAAGCGCTCCACATGACAGACTCCTCTGGGCAAAAACAGTTTCTTGTGCTGTTCAGTTTGCTTATTATTCAGTAGCTTTAGAAAGATCCATGCCCCTCAAAAAAATTTAAGTTTTTAATATATGAAAATTTTTTTCTCTTGACCAAGTAAAACTAGTTCTTTTAATGTAAGAATTGTGAAAAGAATCACTATGTTTTTCCAAGTTATAGCTTTATTTATAGGATGCTCAGAGCTTAAATTTTAAGTTCAAACCTCCTTATGCCAAGTACATTTCTATAACTAACCTCCTTTTCGTTGCACGTGTCTCTTGTGCTTTCATTCTGTTCAGCAGCTTATTTTAAGGGACATCCACGTCCTTGGAAAGTAGGTGGGTCATGATAATAAGTGAATGAGAGATTAGTTATAAACGACACGCTACAGACCACTCACAATGAAAATAAGTCTTTCCAGAGAAAAGGAGTATAATCTGGCTAGGTTTTGACTGCTTTATAATGTACTTTAATCAGACTCCAAATACCAATGACTATGCAAGTTGAAAACCAAAAAATGTTTCTTGAAGTGTTAAAAATCAGGACACCTGGTTACACACTAAACTCAGAAGAGCAAACGATAATCGATCGCATCCTTATATTTCTAGAAGCAACATGCAGAATAATTCGTCTAATGCTGCCAAGGTGAGGTAGAGTCAAAGGTCAAACTAACCTTCTTCCTCGTTTTTTGTCTAAATCAGAATACACAGGAATAAAGAAAAAGTTTCAATGCAGAAATTTCACCATAAATCTCTGCTAGACAATAATGCCTGGGTACCTCTATCCTTCACATTCCATCAGCTACCATATAAACCAAATTTTGTACAAGACTGCAATGGTATCTTTATTCAGTAATTAGGTAGGAAAATGAGAAGAAAAGAAAGATGGGGTAAAAGTTGCCTGGACCATTGCATGGTCTTAACACTAAGGTTTCTGGTCTTCTCTTCTAATATTTTATATGTTAGAAGGTAAGAGAAGAATTTAGGAAGTTTTTTAAAAGCCCCAAATAGCCTTGTGTTGTAATCTCACTAAAATATGTATTTCAATCAAATTAATGAGTGAAATTGTTAGTAATACCACTGAATAGAAAATACAAGGGAGTGTTCCTACCTTTTACAGCCATCTAACAAAATGGTAACTGTGGTCCTCCTCGGAAAATTTTATACCTCCCCACTGTTTTGGACACGCTTTGTTAAATAAGGAAAACTCAGTGTCCTACTCATTCTCAAGTTCATATTAAATACACCGCAAAATATTTGCCCTAAACAAATTCTACTTTTGTACTTTACTAGTAAGCTTCGAGGAAAACCAAACCAAACAGGAAGGGGAGGAGGAGAATCTCTGAACTAGAAACATCAAAACTTCTATATGTTTTGTGTGTTGTCTTCTATACACCATTAGCGATAAATGTTAAGTTTCAACATTTGTTATTTGTTCAGTAACATATTACTCACCCATGTGAACACGATTGTGTAAAATTTTAACTATCACAGATACGTATCTTTTTCTCCCCCCAAATTGACATTTCCCTTTGTGTCCTCACATATTCGTGCAAAAGACCCGCTTCTGCTTGCCAAAAATGTTTATGTAGTCATTACAGATTCAACACTACAGGAAAAGAAATCTCATATTTGGTGTTAATCCTCATAATTCCAAAATACTGCATACAGCATTTACTCCTGTGCTAAGGCCTCAGGCTTATCAGCAGTTTCTTGAAATGCTCAGGGTATAAAATATCTTACCTTACCTCAGCAGACGAGCTAGGAACCACAGAAGCACAGTCTTGAGTATTACACTGCTGCCATCTTTACTAGGTATTTTTAATCTCTAAAGAATTTTAGCTACAACCTCATCAGCAAACGTTTCAAGCAAAGTGCTGTATCACAGTCATTTTTTTCCTAGGGAAGAAAACAGGCAGGGAAGATGAGAGGGGAGAAAAGGTAATTTACCTGCATCAATTTTCTCGAGAGCTCATTAGTGAGGAACTCTTCTTCCTTCTCATAATTTACAGCAAGGGTTTCTTTCTCCTTCTGCAAAGCCTGAATTTTCTTGAATAAAGTGTTACTGATGAATTCTTCTTCCTGCTCAGCCCGGGCTTGCTGTTAAAATAAAAAAGAGAACAAAAAAATATGTTAAGGAAACAGGAATTTACTAATTGAAATATAGTTCTTATTTCCAGAGAGGGCACCCATTTTAATTAGAGCTCTATTTTTAACTGTGAACCAATATACCCCAAGAAGCACAAAACAGAGGAACTCAGTAGCAGCCATAAAAGTAAATCTGTTACCCCAAAGGGCCTCCCTGTATTATGCATGGCCCCTCTTCTTAAAGAGATAGTCCAAAGAAATTAACAAAGATTGTTTTGCAATTTTTAGAAGCCGTCCCAAGTCAATCACCAGACTACAGAAAGCTTCTTCTCGCATAGGGCAGACGGGTCCAGTATTGGGGTATATGCATCGATTCATGACAACTCTCTACAACTCTCCACATCTCAAAGGTTCAGAGGTAAAATACCTAGGCAACATTTTTACTGAAGCAGAGAAGTACCTCTCGCTTAAAAGTGAAATCGTAAAATCATGTCATCTCTTTAAGATGTTACTGAAAGGGTTTCGGTATGCAATTTAAAAAGCAATACAGATAGACATAGATTAATTTACATGTTCGTTGAATAGTTGCTGGAAGGAAACACAGCAAACGGCTAAAAAGTAGTTAACTGCAAAGCAGCAAGAATCCAGGGAGTGAAGGGTAAGGACGGATGAGAGTGTCATTTTTCACTTATTTATTTCCCTACTGGGAATTTTCTGGAGGTGAGGGCACGGACAGGCATTACTGAGCATTAAAAACAGAAGAAAAGGGGGTCAGGCATAATTCCATGGAGATGAAAATATTTTTCTGCAGATCCCTTCCACCACCTATGTTCTAACAGAATAAACAGAAAAACCAGCCATCCTTGAAGGAAATTAATCTTTTCAGAAAAAGGGTACTTCTTTCAAATGGACTCAACTCTATTCAAAGTACTTTTTAAACTGCAACATTTTGATGTGTTAATCCCCAATAATGCATTCCTGTTTCATCTGCCAAGTCCAGGAAGGGAGAACTGCATCAATTCCAAGCCTCCAGTACCTGTCACTTATAATAATACAAGAGAGCTAGAGGGCAGGAGACAAAAGGGCACCTACATTAAACAGTTACCACCTTTTACTGTAAAAGGTCCGCCAACCACTCCCAACTCAGCTGGTTTGGATTTCTGTACATACGCACTGACTTCCCCGACACCCAGGGCCCCCTAGAGCCCTGATTTCTGGGGAGCCCATCCTCCCTGCTCCCCATGATAGCAGCAGAGAGAAGGATGCCAGGGCCTGGAACTGCCTGCCAAGCAAAGCTACCAAAGAAAGCCACGTGTATGTAGTACTTAGACTGAAAAACAGCTACGTAGAAAATGGAAACTTCAGGAGGAGGTGTTGCAGTCCAGTTCTTTCAGACAGCATTTTGGGATAGGCCGGGAGATGTGAACAGCAAAGAACACATCACTCATCTAATAAGGTTTTATGACCAGCCAAGCACATCCGGGGAGCAGGCCCTAGGTTCCCAGGCCCTTACAGACTCCGTAATTCATTAGCACTTCTCAAGGTCATACTCCTTACTCCATGGTCAAGGGAACACTGCCCAGGACTGGCACTTCCCCCCTTCCCTTTAAATTAACCTCCAACTCGGCTTCAAAACTCTCAGACCTCAAGATCTCATCCTAGTGCAATGGGAAGGAACCCAAAGCATTTCTTTCAGGCATATCTGACACACATATCCAAGCCCGCAATCTGTCTGAGCTACCTGTTTTTCTGGTTTTGACTGACAAAGTTCTATATGATTTGAATTCTGATTATTCTAAAAGCTACAGGACAAAAATGGTAGAGAGGGGAACTGTAATGCCTTTGCAGGTGACTGTGCACTTAGATTTCAAAAGGTTTGCCATAAATTCATTTCGTTATCAAGTCAGACTCAACTTCTTGCCTATTACCAGGCATTCCCTATGTTCAATGACTGGGAAATTTACCCACAGACAGTAACAGAGAACCAGACTCAGAGGCCCAGCAGACCACCTCCCCCCTGTGCACAAGGACCCAGAAGTGAGAAGCTGAGAATAAGAGGCCAGGCCCTAAGGGTTTATTCATGAAACTTCCACCTCAGCCCCTCACCCTTCCCATATTTCATCCATCATTAAGTTACAGGGGTAACAGGTCTCAGTGTAATATAAAACAAAACTCTGTGATAGAAAATAGATTAGTAGTTGCCAGGGGCTGGGAGGGGTGGAGGTGGGAGAACGGGGAATGACCGCTTCTGAGTACAGGGATTCTTCTGGGGTGTCGAAAATGGTGTGGAATTAGACAGTGCTAACAGGGTTATGTAACCTGGTGAATATACTAAAAGTCAGCGAACTGTACACTTGAAAATGGTGAATTTTATGGTATGTGAATTATAACTAGATTAAGGGAAACAACTCTAATAATTAACAGGGTCCTGTATTTCACAGAGCATTGGGTTTGCTTTGCAATTCTTCCCAGGGAAAGTAGCAAATTTATTATAAAAAGGATCGGGAGGACTTCCCTGGTGATCCAGTGGTTGAGACTCCGCGCTTCCACTGCAGGAAGCGTGGGTTCGATCCCTGGTCAGGGAACTAAGGTCCCACATACATGCCTTGCAGCCCGGCCAAAAAATAAAATAAATAAAATAAAAAGGATTCGGAGAGGGCGATGTTCGAGCTAGATCTGCTCTGAAAGTGCCTTCCAAAATGAGTGACGGTTGTGAGAGACTCAAGCTTTAGCCAACAAAATTCTTCACCACTTTAGAGTAGCCACTTATTTCTAGGCAAAGCCCATTCATAGACAACTCCACTCTCAGGACCCACCACCAGTGTGAGGAACTGTTCTGTGGAAGCTAGTTAAAGCCTCTCTAGCTTAACGAGGGGTTAAGCAGGCCGGGCACAGATTTTGTTCAAGGCTTCATTTTGCTAAGGTTTAAAGCACGGGGACTGTCACTCTGCCTCCCACTGTCATCCCAGAGAAAAACCACACATCTGAAGGGCAAGACTCGAGGCCCCTGAAACATAAAACCCCAGTTCACCCTTTTTCCAACTGGTCACAGGGCACTGTTAGAAATTAACACGTAAATGAGGACAAAAGACAAAGTGCCATATCCAATACAGCCCCAGAGAAAATTGGTTAAAAGACCAGCTCCAGGGGCTTCCCTGGTGGCGCAGTGGTTAAGCATCCGCCTGCCAATGCAGGGGACACGGGTTTGCGCCCTGGTCTGGGAAGAGCCCACATGCCTTGGAGCAACGAAGCTCATGCACCACAACTACTGAGCCTGCGCTCTAGAGCCCGCGAGTCACAACTACTGAAGCCCCCGCGCCTAGAGCCTGTGCTCTGCAACAAGAGAAGCCACTGCAATGAGAAGCCCGCGCACCACAACGAAGAGTAGCTCCTGCCTGCTGCAACTAGAGAAAGCCCAAGCACAGCAACGAAGACCCAATGCAGCCAAAAATAAATTTAAAAATTAAATCTTTAAAAGACCAGCTCTAGTGTACTAACAACCAGAGTAGGCACCATGCATCACAGACAAGCAGGGAGCATCCATCTGGAATTCTCCCTGCAGCTTTCTTCCCATTCTTTGTGCATTATCTTCTCAATCTTAATCTTAAATCCTGGCTTTTTCTTCCCCTAAACTCCAAAACAGGCCTTTTTATTCAGGCCATAAAACAAATTACCTTTCCAATTTATTTCCCCCAAGTCAAGAGCTAGGTAGACAACGGCAAAACAGGCCACGTGCCATTTGCAAGGAACTAGGGGTCAGGCAGGTAGACAGAGCAAAGATAAAACAGGCTAACGTGGAATCTCATCAGTTTTATCAATCTATTTCCCTTTTATCTGCAATGCTTTGAAATCAGCATACCTAAACAAATTCAAAAATAAAACTATATTTCCAAAGCTAAAATTTATTTTAAAATTTAAAATCAAGGTTTGCCTATAATTCCATAAACTCTCAAAAGAAAATGTGAAGCAAAAACTTAGGAACTCTTTGTTTTACATACGTTTGTAGAGTTGAAGATTGGGAAAATCTGGGGGGAAATTTTTAAAAACCTGTGATTAGAGATACAGAGAACAAACTAGTGGTTACCAGTGGGGTGAGGGAAAGGGGGAAGGGGCGTTAGAGGAGTAGGGAAGTAACAGGTACAAACAATTAGATATAAAATAAGCTACAAGGATATATTGTACAACATGGGGAATATAGCCAATATTTTATAATAACTATAAATGGAGTATAACTTTTTAAAATTGTGAGTTACTATACTGTACACCTGCAACTTATATAATATTACACAGTAACTACAGTTCAATTAAAAATATGATTATATTTTCATGTTCAATAAGGTTCTAACTGCTATGTTCAGAAGCAGAGTGAATGTTGGTATAACCTTATTCACTTATCGGTGTCTGCTACTTTGACCCTCACCCAGCAGGGATCACTCGATGTGTGATGTGAGGACTAGAGTACAAAGCAAGTCTCCATCACTCTTCCCCCATCCTCCAAGAGTCCAATTAAAAAAAAAAAAAAAAAAAAGGAAAGGGAGAGCACGGGAGAGACAGGAGCAATTTACCAAGTCCTCTGGGAAACACACACACACACACACACACACACACACACACACACACACTCTCTCTCTCTCTCTCTCTCTCTCTCTCTCTCTCTCTCTCAGAAAAAATTCTTTTCACTTGAGTCACCACATATTGAGGCAACCATACTCTAGGTGGGCACAATTTTCTGATAAGGAAATCATTCTCACCCACTGCTCTCACGACTGGGGCACAAATTTGACAGGAGATTCCCATGTGATTGTTTAGTGCTTCTGTTCTTTATCAGTGGTATTTTGGAGATCAGGGGTTAGTACAGAAAGGAGAATTCAAACTCTCTCAACAATAGCACTGCTGAAAATTCAAGTACCAAGACCAAAATTATGTAAAATGATGCAACTCAACATCTGTCAAGAATAAAAAAAAAAAGGACAGTTTCCAAAGCAAAAAAATATAGGCACTATCTATTTCAG